ACGGACACCCTTCTGATCTGGAGTCAGATGCGCTACCGTTGCGCCACAGGGCCAGGTCGATGTCGTTCAGCATCATCCAAAGGAAACATACAGGTGAGCATTTTGTATTTTCCTACAACTCGCAGTCTATCATATGACCTCGGCCCGAATCGAACGGACAACTTTCTGATCTGGAGTCAGATGCGCTACCGTTGCGCCACAGGGCCAATCTGACGTTGTTCAGCATCATCCAAAGGAAACATACAGGTGAGTATTTTGTATTTTCCTACAACTCGTAGTCTATCATATGACCCCGGCCCGATTCGAACGGACAACCTTCTGATCTGGAGACAGATGCGCTACCGTTGCGCCACAGGGCCAAGCCGTCGATGATGAGCATCCTCGAAGGAAACATGCAGGTGAGTATTTTGTATATTTCCCTACAACTCGTAGTCTATCATATGACCCCGGCCCGATTCGAACGGACAGCCTTCTGATCTGGAGTCAGATGCGCTACCGTTGCGCCACAGGGCCAAGCCGACGATGTACAGCATCCTCCAAAGAAAACATGCAGGTGAGTATTTTGTATTTTCCTACAACTCGTAGTCTACCATTTGACCCCGGCCCGATTCGAACGGACAACCTTCTGATCTGGAGTCAGATGCGCTACCGTTGCGCCACAGGACCAAGCCGACGTTGTTCAGCATCATCCAAAGGAAACATACAGGCGAGTATTTTGTATTTTCCTACAACTCACAGTCTATCATATGACCCCGGCCTGATTCGAACGGACAACCTTCTGATCTGGAGTCAGATGCGCTACCGTTGCGCCACAGGGCCAATCTGACGTTGTTCAGCATCATCCAAAGGAGACATACAGGTGAGTATTTTCCTACAACTCGTAGTCTACTATATGATCCCGGCCCGATTCAAACGGACACCCTTCCGATCTGGAGTCAGATGCGCTACCGTTGCGCCACAGGGCCAATCTGACGTTGTTCAGCATCACCCAAAGGAGACATACAGGTGAGTATTTTGTATTTTCCTACAACTCGTAGTCTACTATATGATCCCGGCCCGATTCAAACGGACACCCTTCTGATCTGGAGTCAGATGCGCTACCGTTGCGCCACAGGGCCAGGTCGATGTCGTTCAGCATCATCCAAAGGAAACATACAGGTGAGCATTATGTATTTTCCTACAACTCGTAGTCTACCATATGACCCCGGCCCGATTCGAACGGACAACCTTTTGATCTGGAGTCAGATGCGCTACCGTTGCGCCACAGGGCCAAGCCGACGTTGTTCAGCATCATCCAAAGGAAACATACAGGCGAGTATTTTGTATTTTCCTACAACTCGCAGTCTATCATATGACCCCGGCCCGATTCGAACGGACAACCTTCTGATCTGGAGTCAGATGCGCTACCGTTGCGCCACAGGCCCAATCTGAGGTTGTTAAGCATCATCCAAAGGAGACATGCAGGTGAGTATTTTGTATTTTCCTACAACTCGTAGTCTACTATATGATCCCGGCCCGATTCAAACGGACACCCTTCTGATCTGGAGTCAGATGCGCTACCGTTGCGCCACAGGGCCAATCTGACGTTGTTCAGCATCACCCAAAGGAGACATACAGGTGAGTATTTTGTATTTTCCTACAACTCGTAGTCTTCTATATGATCCCGGCCCGATTCAAACGGACACCCTTCTGATCTGGAGTCAGATGCGCTACCGTTGCGCCACAGGGCCAGGTCGATGTCGTTCAGCATCATCCAAAGGAAACATACAGGTGAGCATTTTGTATTTTCCTACATATGATCCCGGCCCGATTCGAATGGACACCCTTCTGATCTGGAATCAGATGCGCTACCGTTGCGCCACAGGGCCAGGTCGATGTCGTTCAGCATCATCCAAAGGAAACATACAGGTGAGTATTTTGTATTTTCCTTCAACTCGTAGTCTACCATATGACCCCGGCCCGATTCGAACGGACAACCTTCTGATCTGGAGTCAGATGCGCTAACGTTGCGGCACAGGGCCAAGCCGATGTTGTTCAGCATCCTCGAAAGGAAGCATGCAGGTGAGTATTTTGTATATTTCCCTACAACTCGTAGTCTATCATATGACCCCGGCCCGATTCGAACGGACAACCTTCAGATCTGGAGTCAGATGCGCTACCGTTGCGCCACAGAGCCAAGCCGACGATATACAGCATCCTCCAAAGAAAACATGCAGGTGAGCATTTTGTATTTTCCTACAACTCGCAGTCTATCATATGACCCCGGCCCGATTCGAACGGACTACCTTGTGATCTGGAGTCAGATGCGCTAACGTTGCGGCACAGGGCCAAGCCGATGTTGTTCAGCATCCTCGAAAGGAAGCATGCAGGTGAGTATTTTGTATTTTCCTACAACTCGTAGTCTACCATATGACCCCGGCCCGATTCGAACGGACAACCTTCTGATCTGGAGTCAGATGCGCTACCGTTGCGCCACAGAACCAATTCGACGATGATGAGCATCCTCGAAGGAAACATGCAGGTGAGTATTTTGTATATTTCCCTACAACTCGTAGTCTATCATATGACCTCGGCCCGATTCGAACGGACAACCTTCTGATCTGGAGTCAGATGCGCTAACGTTGCGGCACAGGGCCAAGCCGATGTTGTTCAGCATCCTCGAAAGGAAGCATGCAGGTGAGTATTTTGTATTTTCCTACAACTCGTAGTCTACTATATGATCCCGGCCCGATTCAAACGGACACCCTTCTGATCTGGAGTCAGATGCGCTACCGTTGCGCCACAGGGCCAATCTGACGTTGTTCAGCATCATCCAAAGGAAACATACAGATGAGTATTTTGTATTTTCCTACAACTCGTAGTCTATCATATGACCCCGGCCCGATTCGAACGGACAACCTTCTGATCTGGAGTCAGATGCGCCACCGTTGCGCCACAGGACCAATCTGACGTTGTTTAGCATCACCCAAAGGAGACATACAGATGAGTATTTTGTATATTTCCCTACAACTCGTAGTCTATCATATGACCCCGGCCCAATTCGAACGGACAACCTTCTGATCTGGAGTCAGATGCGCTACCGTTGCGCCACAGAGCCAAGCCGACGATGTACAGCATCCTCCAAAGAAAACATGCAGGTGAGTATTTTGTATTTTCCTACAACTCGTAGTCTACAATATGACCCCGGCCCGATTCGAACGGACAACCTTCTGATCTGAAGTCAGATGCGCTACCGTTGCGCCACAGGGCTAAGCCGGCGATGATGAGCATCCTCGAAGGAAACATGCAGGTGAGTATTTTGTATATTTCCCTACAACTCGTAGTCTATCATATGACTCCGGCCCGATTCGAACTGACAACCTTCTGATCTGGAGTCAGATGCGCTACCGTTA